CGCCCTAGTTTCAGAAAACGCTTGGACTTGCGCCCTTATGCACATTGCTGTCCAGTGCCAACTATAATAGATAATCTGAAACCGTTTTGACTGGGGTGTGTATCATACAGTATTGGTTCTAGAAAGCAGTAGAACACATTTTCGCCAACTTGTGGACTTACGTCCCTTTGTCAGATCATCAGTGAAGTAGGAGCTTCTGTCAATAATAATAGTGCATGAATTTAGTCGGCTGTGGCCGCTAATATAAGCTGAGCACCAATCCTGTAATGTCAGACTTCGTGGAAATAAACACTTGACCCATGTGTTCGTGTTCGTGAATCCGTCCGTCCTCCGTCAGTCGGTCAACACCAAGATACTTCAATCGCACAGAAGCCAGCGGGGTGAGGGCTGGTAATTTCCCCGGGCATCTTCCGCCCAGCGCAGCATTTAATTAAAACTATCTCCATTTCTCGACGCTGAAATCGATGTAAGAAAGCCCGTATCAAAAAAATAAATAATAAGTCATCGAAGTTGCACTCTCTAAAAATCGTATTGAACTTGTGAAGACACTGTGCAAAATCTGGACTCCACCAGACAACGCTTTCCCGGCCCGGATCGCATTTGAAGTTGGGAACTGGAAACGGCCGCGAGAGAGACCACCATGCTGATCCCCAGCTGTCCTCTGCCGGTGCGCCCAGGAACGACGAGGCACAGGTCAGGTAAGACCTGCACAGGTCAGGTAAGACCTTATGAACCCTTCTTCTAAATTCCCGAGGTGAATCCAGTGTCAGAGCAAATGCGTCCTCTACAGGGGCGTAAGTGTAGCGATAGCCAATGTTACGTTTGACGGAACAAATTGGCAGTTTCGAATGCTTTTATTTACCGGACACTAGGTATGCCCCATACTAAGAGTGAAACAGCAAAAAGGCCGGATAGCCTTGACGTGATTGTGGTGAAAATTCAAATTCTTTCGAAAACGCCTGTCAGCCAGGCTAAAAGCTATACAGGCGTGTAAAGTGGGTGGCCTAACTGACATCGCCACAGGCGCTAATACCCTTTTTTCAAAAAAAAAATACTATCGGAGCGCTGGCGCTACTTGGCGTTCAGAACGGTTTTGGTCTGGGCATGGTAAAGCCCTAATATCCGCAAAGAAATATCTCCGAAAAGCACAAAGCTGATGAGTCGAACGTGACATAGGCTGCCACGATACTTACCCCCCTGCAGAGGACGCGGTTGATATGACTGGATTCGCCTCGGCTGGTGAGAAGTAGGGTTCATAGGGTCTCACCTGACCCTTACTCCGTCGTTCCTAGGCACGCCAGTCGTGTGATCTGGGGATCAGCATGGTGGCCTCTCTCGTGGCCGTTTCGAGTTCCCAACTTCAAATGTGATCCGGGCCGGGAAAGCGCTGTCTGGTAGCGCCCAAATTTTGCACAGGGTCGCTACAAGGCCAATACGACTTTCAGAGAGTGCAACCTCAGAAATCGCAGACGTCAACCTTCTCTTTCATACGGGCTAACGGGTAGGCCTAGGGAAGGCCAAAAGTAACTGAAATAAAGAATGGAATGATATCAGAATCCAAAACGCAACAGCCAAGAGGTAAAAATGAATTAAATACTTAACAATTTCAACGGGGAAGAGAAGTATCATTGAATTTAAGTCCTAAGTGGACACGGCCTTTGGTTTGAAAGGAGGGATTGTACACAACCACCCAGTGGGTCAGTGGGGATTTTGTGGCACCCCTTCGATGCATTCTACACAGGTCTAAAAGTCAAGGTGTAAGCCGCCACTGCTTTTGTGATTGCCCAACAATTTCACCATACGAAGCAACTGTGAAATCACAACACTTATTTGTAGTCAAAAATAGTGCATTTCCCTATTCGACGCGTCCTAACAACAATGTTCTATCTTCAGCGTGCGGATTACACAATGTTCTATCTGCTGCGTGCGGATTACACAATGTTCTATCTGCAAAACGCAGGTTTCGGGACACCTCCAAAGGAATGCTTATTACTCCGTAACCGCTCGTTCTACTTCAGTTTTTGCTGTCAATAATTAAACATTGGACCTTTACGATTCTTCCCGTGTGCTCAGATTGGCCTTAATGTCTTCCAGCTACTTGCAAACCACACAAAGGCGAAGGGCTGCGCCTAACCCCGTTTTGCAGATAGAACATTGTGTAATCCGCCCTCTGCAGATAGAACATTGTGTAATCCGCACGCTGCAGATAGAACATTGTTGTTAGGACGCGTCGTATTTTACTTGGAAGTAGTTGTGAATCAATCGTAATAATTTCTGGAGTTATAAATTTTTGACAACGAAGAATAGTTGTGATTTAGTTAGTGATTTGATAGTGTAAGTTCTGGCAACTTTTTTCACACAGTATTCTGCGTGGTGTTAGGGAGGGTGGGGCACATAGTGACGCTTTTTGGAATTTGGGGTTTATTCTCTTTTACGGGGCTCAATGCATTAGGTAAGAGCTTGTAAAGGTTCTTTGAACCTTTGCCAAGGTATATGGACCATTAGTTGCCTAGAATAACATTTGAAGATCCTTAGAATTGGGTCGAAAGCAAGCCCTGCATTTGTCACTTAGTGCCCCGGCCCGGGGCACTTATTGACAGTCATCTACGTAACTTTCACGCTCTCACTGGAAAAACTAACGTTACCGAGGTAACGTTTCTTGACGCGACCAAACCAGGTAACGTTTGGTGATGCAACCAGTTTGTGATGGCCCTATCCTTTTGCATGGGGTAGGTCGCATCAGGAAACGTTACCGGTCTTGGTTACATGAGGAAACGTTACCATGGTAACATTAGTTTTTCCAGTTACTCATAATATTACACATATTTTAACGATTCTATAGAGAAATAAACAGTACGAAGCAACAGAAAATATTTTCTTTCGTTTTGAAACCAATGTGGAACGTATATTAAGGAAAAATGAGAAAAGCGATTAAGTCTTTCCAAAACACGAATCTAAACGTTGCTTTTTCGTTGTTTCTGAACAAGTTTGAATAAGACATAATCTTTTTTTTCTCACTTAACCAGAAAATATGTCATTACATACTTCCCCATCAACATCTGTCACTAACTGCCCCGAGCTCAACTTCGCGTTACAATGTGCCTGAGAGGTTACGGTAGAGACCCGCAACGAGTGAGCTACGCTAGCAACGCGCTGGAGCCGCGCGCTGCGAGCAATTTAGCTCGTTGGGCCGCACGCCTCCTTGGCGGAGACAGCCTTGCTTTTCGGAGGCCCCCCTGGCGCTGCTCGCGCTGCTCGTGCGAGCAAATTTGCTCGCAGACCCGGCCCATTGCTGCAGCATGCAGGTTCCCCTGTTCGTCGTCGCAGCGCCACCGCGCACACAAGCCACGATCTGAATAGCTCGTAGTCGCATGCGCGAGCCGGGCACAGCCGAGCAAAGGAAATCGCGCGGTCCACGAGCAAAACAGCTCGCAGCGCGCGGCTCTAGCACCTTGCTCGCGTAGCTCACTCGTTGCGGGTCTCTAGGTTACGGGTCTGCCCAAACCTCGGAGTAACATCGGAATAAGGGAGGGAGGGCTCAATAGTAATGATAGAAAGATTGCGCATGACCAATTTGATGATATTAGCTTAGTATTGCAGGGAAAAATCAGAAAGAAAAAGTTTAAAAATGTCGTCAAAATTGTCTAATTCAAAGTTCACATTCTCCCCAGCGCAAGCACATTGAATTTAACACAACAGGCTTGTGGTGTATGTTTCTAGAGGTGAAACACTTTGTTCTTTGCACCGAGGCTGTTGCGAACAGTTTACAGCAGGGCCAGCGCAGCGATATGTCACTATGTGCCCCTGTCACTAAGTGCTCCTCTCTTTCTGAATTTTTTTAACAGTGCCGTTTCACCGCTCCATTTTTACATTTAGATATTTACCATTATTTGCTACAGTTAGTTCAGAAACGCAGCATGGCTCAAGGTGAAAATTGACCAAAGTGAAGGTACGGGGTTTACTGCAGCTTACAGTGAAATCTCAGGATTGAAAATTGCATCTTGTAAGACAAGCACTAATGTCAGACGCACCTTGCACTAGATAACAATTTGTATGCAGTTCAGAGTGCACTGTTGGAATGCCATGATGTATCACACCTTCGGGAGTGATAACATTTTTATCTCAAATTTTGCGTGATACTCTTTGCCAAAGAATGCAAATGAATGTAGAGTTCTTGCTAAACGGTTCGGTACATGTTGCATAAAATTGTAAGAATAACTCAAAATATTGCACAAGCAACAGCTTTCATCACAAACGATAGCGATGCAATCATTACTGAACGTTTTTGCGATGGTCAGCACCTCATCGTACAGTATGTTTTGTATCACAGAAGGCACGTGCAGTCATCATTACACCGTGGTTTACCATATATAGTGGTCTAGTGATGATGGTTAGCCAACGTGGTGCATGTTGCAGGCGCTTGGGAGAAACCGGGCTCGAGCCCACCGTCTGCGCCGTTCCCTGTACCTCGCCTTCGGCTGGCTGACGGTAGTGAGCATCCTCCGCATGGACGTGCTAGTGCCACCCGTATGGGCACGGTCCATGGCGGGCAACCTGGCCCGGGCGTCGGGGCTGGACGAGGACGTGTGCTTCTCGCTGGTGCACGTTACCAAGACTGTCCTGGACGTGGTCGGCTCCCTGTGCTGCCTGACGGCCTTCTACACATTTGTGCCCTGTGTTCTGCTCATGTACTCGGCGTGCGCATTCGCACATAAAGCAGTGGGAGAACGTCTGATGGTGCGTGCCTCATTCGCGGAGCCCAGGTTGATCCTGTCGGCGACACCGTAATAAACAATGTAACAGCCTTAACCTTTTCCCCGTGAAACCCGCCCCGTATACATACTGTATACATACTGTATACGTTCCACATACAATCCATATGTGTGCATACAGGCGACGTATATAGTTCGTACGCGGTCCGAGTATGATCTGTGTGCCGTATGTGGTCCGTATATGGCAGGTGGATGTATGCCCTCCAAACACTGCGTATGCAAGCCTTACATAAACTATATGCACTGGTACTGAACACATACGTTCTGTTTGCTCGCATACGGTCCATACACGGCACGTGTATGCGTACCTTATGCACACGCGAGGTTGTCGTCACTGTGAGAAAAACCTACGGTCTAACAACGGTCTTGGGCCGTCAATTATTAACCAATTGCAAACCGTTCTTGGACCGTACCTGGTACGGTGTGATCACAGCGCCTCATTGTTATTTTAACCGTAGTATTTATTATAACTGAAATCACATTCTACGGTTTAAAATAACGGTGAGGCGCTGTGATCATACCGTACCATGCTGTAAAATCCAAGCTGTTATTTCACCGTAGGTAGACCGTTATTTTTTACAGTGGTGTCCGTTCTGTATGTCCAATCAGACTGCCGTATGTGTGCTGTATGGCCACAGTCACATTAGGGTGCCGTATGTGTGAAGTATGGGTCGACATCCGACTGCCTAAATACCAGATGACTGACTTACGCTGCGTACTCTCTCGTAGTTATACTGTACCGCATGCAAGCGTGTGGCGGGTTGGCTACTCGCACGGGGCCATAAGGAGCCGTGGGCAGCGAGGGTCAGAACTAAAAAGGTGGTAGTGCAATGCAGTTTTCGTGGAAAAGTTAATATAATATTGCATTAATGAAACTATGTGCAGCACATATCACAGAATAACAAACAATAATCACAGGTTAATCTCATAATGGTTAGGAGTCAGAGCAACGTAGATACATTCCTACTTTAAGAACCTTGCTTTTTAAACATATCAGAGATGACCAAATAATTTCCCGAATCCTCAACGGGCATCAAATGTCTAACAGCATACCTGCTCTCTGTCTGATTAAATTGATGTTACTCACTTTAAAAACTTTAATGAGACAGTAGAGTGATGCATTCTCAGACTTAACAAACACAATAATACGACCATATTCGACGGTATCACCATCACTGAGTTCAAATTCAACAAACGAATCACTGCGTTTTTCGTTGTCATCATAAATTTTACTGCTGTAGAAGCTGTTTGACATGATCTTGAGTCTGGAATGTAGAACATAACTCCCAAAGTCACAGGAGCTATGGCACTCTTTCTCCTCGGTGCTGCGGGATCCGAGAGGCAAAATTGCACCTAACGAATGAGGCTGTGCCTCAGCTGTATGGACCAACGCCCTAGCATGAGAAGTAACATTTTCCAAGATTGTCACTCTTTGCGAAATCTTTATATTTTTAATTAATTCTTTTCCTAAGGGTTTGGTGCCATGTATGTTACGTATGCATTACGTATACGTTACATATACGTTGCGTATACGTTGCGTATACGTTGCGTATACGTTGCGTACACGTTGCGTACACGTCGCGTACACATAAAGTTCTCTTAGGCACATACGGTCCCACATACAATTCGTATACAATTCTTATACTGAATCTATTCGGCCACATATATTAGGAACGTGTACTGTAGCCGGAGTGTATACGGGGCAGTTTTCACGGGAAAGTACTACAGATTTCTGTCTCAAATACAGCTTGCCGTATCAGTGCCTTCTAACACAGAGTAGGGTTGCCAAGAAAAACGCATTTTTCGATTTTTGAGTTGGCATGTTGACCCGAGGGTGCAATTTGGTGTATAGATACAGCATGATTTTTATTATGAAAATGGAACAATATTTGACCCTGCCGAAACGAGCTCAAACTTTAACATTACTTTCTTATGGGGAATTCTACTAAAAACTACAATTTGGGCCTGGAGCTCAAAATATTACCTGTAGATGAAAAGTGTTGTAAAAATCGTGATCTACGCGAAAAACCGAGTCTGACGATATGCCACTTGCCAGTATCCGCCATCGCATTTCGTAGAAATTATTCGTGAAATAATCATTTTTTTGCTATTTTTTCCTGAAAGAAGTGATTATTTCACGAATAATATCTACGAAATGCGATGGCGGATACTGGCAAGTGGCATGTCGTCAGACTCGGTTTTTCGCGTGGATCACGATTTTTACAACACTTTTCATCTACAGGTAATATTTTGAGCTCCAGGCCCAAATTGTAGTTTTTAGTAGAATTCCCCATAAGAAAGTAATGTTAAAGTTTGAGCTCGTTTCGGCAGGGTCAAATATTGTTCCATTTTCAAAATAAAAATCATGGTGTATCTATACACCAAATTGCACCCTCTGGCCAACATGCCCACTCAAAAATCGAAAAATGCGTTTTTTTGGGCAACCCTAAACACAGAGACGTATAACATGGGTACAAAATTTTGTAATCTGATCAAAATGTTACATAATTCAGTATATGTCAATGATTTCTGTAAAAGATACAAGGCACAGCAGCGTGAGACACAATTTTTTGTATCACTGGATACATTATGAAATATTGTTGGTAAGGTCGCTGGGAGCCCCGGCAGCATCAGACACTCAGAAAGCCGCATTCTTGGTTCAAGAGCAAATTCTCTTGAGTGAATCAAGAGCATTTTGCACTTGGTGTGCACTGCAAAATGCTTGCAAAGAATAGGTTCGTATTGCAAACTATTTTCTTTGCAGCTTGCAAAGAATTTTCAAGCATTGTAATACGAACTAGTTCTTCGCAAGCTTGCAAACTCTTTCTTTGAAATGCTAACACATTGTTTGCAAGGATTTTGCCAGGTTGCAAAGAATTTCTTTGCAATACGAACTGATTCTTTGCAATACAAAGCTTTCAAATTCTTTGCAACGTTGCAAAGAAAATAGTTTGCAAGCATTTTACAGTGTGGGGTCAATATCTCTTGTACTGAGGCAAAAACGATTGATTCAAGTACCACATAAACTTGGACGCAAGTGGAATAGACCCTTAATCGAAGAGCCACACCGACGAGTTAGACTGAAAAGAACGTAAATCAGCCGCCCGTTCCAAGACTAACGCAGTTCAGCCGCCACGCGATCCAAAAGACCCGCAGTTTGCCGTTCTATAGATAGGACCTGCGTTAGTCTTGGAACGGGCGGCTAAGCTGCGTGCCTTACGGAACGCGCGGCTGAACTGCATTCCTTTCCAACGTGTCCCATGACAACATCCATCCCAGATAGGACCCGCATATACGAACGCGGACGCAACCCAGATGGAAGCCGGATAGCACCCGTAGCAGTGCGAGGGCACACGGCTGCGACCCGGACAGGGCGGGATAGGGACCCGGATAGGGCAGACTAGGACCCCAGCACTAGCACTAGGTTGTTACATTTTGAGCGGTCAAGACGCCAAATTTTCTGAAGCGAGGTTCTTTTGAAAGTTTATGTCATGCCGATACTCATAGAGCAAACCCGGGGTCTGTGCAATGAGGGGAACCAAGCGCAACCCGCGTTTTTTGGGTGATTTAGCGGATATCGACTGACATGTTCTCGGTCCCGCTGTTCCGCGACGCCACCGTCATCGACCGCGCCCCGTCGTTTGGTGCCTACCTGTGGTATGTACTTTCATTCAGACATGGTTTGACCCGCCATCCCCACCCACCTCAGGAGCCAGGGCGTAAGTACTCGAAAACCGGATAATGCGCTCTATGCCTGGTACCGCTGATGATACGCCTGCGCGGAAACGTGGCCGGGCAGAAGGGCTATCTAGCCCCGAATAGCGAGAGCATAGCGTTCTCCTGCGTCATAGCAAAAATGCGAATGGAAGGGTCTGACTGCCGGGAGACATATTCAAACGGCACGCGGGAAACGCTGACGGCAGGCGGTATAGTGCCTTAGCACAGCTCTCCCTGCTCACTTACCGATGTGCTTGTGGGATTGTGTTGGCGCTGCGTTGTTGCCTCGGGTAGGAACGTAAAGAGAGGCTGACGCTCGTCGCAGGCAGTTTTCTGGCAGTGGCAGTCAATGCAATACGCTTGTTTAGTTTACGATGAACGACTAGAGCGAGGAGCGTACTATACCGCGTCCCGTCCCTGCTTCCCGCCCGCCGTTTGAATGTGTCTCCCGGCACTCAGACCCTTTCATTCGCATTTTTTCTATGACGCAGGAAAACGTTATGCTCTCGCTGTTCAGGGCTGGATAGCCCTTCCGCCCGGCCACCTTTCCGCGCAGTCGACGTTCCCATACCTTAAACGGTGCCCGGTCTAAAGCGAGATACCTGGTTTTCGAGTACTTACGCCCTGGCTCCTAAAGTGGGCCAGAAGGCCGGGTCGGACCAAGTCCGACAGAAAGTACATACCATAGGTAGTCACAGTCACCACACGACGGGGCGCGGTCGGCGACAGTGGCTTTGCGGCACTGCTGGACCGAGAACATGTCGGTCAAGATACCCGCTAAATCACCGCTAAGTGATCTTTCCGTCCCCGATCTGGACTCAGATGCCGCCCAGGTTGCGGTCGGGGCGGGGAGGGGGATAGCAGATCAGCGCTTGACCTATCAGAGAGCGGCGTTTTCCCCTCGAGCCTCTCCCGGTCATTTATGATAATTGGCTGAGCGTTAGCGAAGCCTTTGCTGTGATGAGGTGCAGGGAACTCTTTGGTTGTGTGTCTGTCTGTCTATCTGTAATCACACACGTTTCTCAAAGACGGCAACTTCAATTGACTTCAAACTGCACACGAAGCATCAGTATAAATCCGGTTGTATCGAGTTTAGTTTAGATGTTTGATATAAGATGTTTGAAATAAGCGATCGTATAATTTGAATTCGTAGTTTGGTAGTAGGTTGGTAGCACGGCAATCGAGGGGAGGGGTAGCGCAAGTGGCTTCTGCGCTCACTGAAGACTTTAATACTTTCTCAGCAGTTAT